TCTACCAGATTCGCCACTTCCACGGCTTCGACAATTATCAGCGCTGTCACGCCACAACCAGGAGACCGTCCATCACCACTGACGCTACTCCCACCTGCCCACAACTAGAAATTGCCACTACGAGCACCGCCAACACTACCACCGAAACCGCTACCGCACCTACTACCTGTGCCATTACCACAAGCCTGGCGACAACGACGACGATGACGATTTGGGTTTTCCTCCGTTGCTTGTTCTGTGTGTACTGTCGGTCCTGAGTTGACTTCACCCCAAAACGCTGCTTGCGCGTTCTTGTTGTGCTTGTTGAGGCATGTTGACGCTATTCTTTGCATCGTTGTTGGTACTATCTGTCATAGCCGTCATCAATGTTACTGCTCTGCCACGAAACCAACCACATCAGCCGCTTTGCTATTGAATGATGATGCTGCCTCCGTCGTCTTCCCGTCTTTCTTGCCAACATCATGGCTCATGTGATGTATCTGATTTGAGACTCTCCATTTTACTAGTTGGGAAGACTCCTCTCACTGTTCTTCTTGTTCGTCGTGTTGGCGATCACTACAGGTGGCTACAGTGACTACAGTAGCTTTCGCTCGTTGCCGCCTTGCCGGCGAGGCCTCTGTTAACCTGGTACCGCACAACTCGGGGGACCGGCCATCGGATGGAAGACGTCCGAGGTGAAGAAGAGATCTCGGCAGGCCACTTTGTAGGCAGACCCCAGATGAGTCGAAGCTGCAGCAAACAGACTGGGGGTGCTGCCGGGGCCTTGGTCGGGATACTCCTCCGGCAGGACCAGGCGGAATCTTAGCATCGTGCTGCCACAGCCGAGATTTTTGGGCGAAATGGCCAATGATCCGGATGCAAAGAAACACAATTCAACAAAAAACGTGCCATCGCCCCTGACTTGCTCGATGGATCGGGGCTGCCAGAGCCTTCACTCCCGGGCACGAGGCTTGAAGACTGCCCCCTTGTAGAGGCCCTGCTTGATGAAGAGAGCGCCCTGCCTCTCTTGGCTGCTGCAGAGTTTTGATTTCGGGAAGCCTTGCGTCTCACAATCAAAGACGGGGCACCAGGTTAGCACGGAGTCGAAGCAGGGGAGCACATACATGCCCGACGGCAGGAGGTCCTCGCCAGCTAGTGATCTAGCTCATGCGCCATGTGCTTCCGACAATCAGTCTCCAGTATTACGAGTAAGTCTGGCAAGAATCTTCGCCCGAAAGCAGTCTGTTTTGCCAATCGATAGCTGCACTTTGGCAGAGGGCACAGCTGGCAAACCCAAACCATGCCAAATCTCAGAGGAGAACTGTGGCAGTCCCCAAGTGGAATCTTGCCACTACCTCCCGTTCCTGAAGACTGGACACTCTATGCCAAACCTGCCCGAGTGCCAAGTGCACTATGGCAAGGAGGCCAGCACGCCATGGCAGGCGCCGATAAACTCGCAGAGCTCCGGCCTGCCCACAGAAGAGGCTTCCTTCCCGGGGAAACAGCCCTAAAGCCTAAACCCTAAAAGGGGTCAACCAAGGGGCTGAGTGGAGATCTTCCGGTTCACCCAGCTCGAAGGATCCTGAGACTTGCCATCATCAGCTGCTTTCCTCAGACTGGGGCGGAGGAGAGAGAGATTTGTCGAAAAGCTGGGACGCGTTTAGCGGAAACAGTGGAGTCAGGATGCAGGTACTTGGAAAAGTTCTGGTCAGATAGACCCAGCTTGTCGGCTCCTGCAACGCCTGCAAAGAGCATGCTAGCGGCTAAGCGTCGAAGTCAGACTGGGGCAGAACACCGGAAACTGGCCGACCATCCGAAAGACAGGACAGGACAAGACTCAAAGGGTCCGTCCTGCCAGGTGCGCCGTCGCCACGAAGCCGCTTCTGAACTTTGTCAGGCGCTCAGCCGCCGTGGAGAATCGATAGGGTCTGGCGCAGAACCTCTCTCTCCAGAAGACCATCGTTGTAGCAGAAAAGATGACATTGTCACCATGGCTGCGTAGTGACATGCCGTTTGTCATACCCGCAAAAACAGGATAAGGCCGGGACTCCACTGGGCGGCCTTGCCTGAAGATGACACATGACAGATGGGGCGTCACGCCGCAGAGAGAGCTGGATGTAACCAGTCAAAGCTTGGCAGCACGCATGTGAGTTTTGGGGCCTTTCGTGTCTTCCGTCGCTTCCTCTCCTGGGGGCACGACATAGCGCGAAACACTTCTACCTGGTCGCCGCAAAACGATGGGCTCTGACTTTGTCGCCAGGGATCGCAGGACCAAGCCGACACGTGCAGAGCATCTCACCGGATCTGTGCGCGGAGCTTCTGCTCTTTCCAGTCTCAGCCCCTGTGTGTCCAATGCAGACAGTTTTGCAGCCTGAGCTGTCCCTAATTCTCAGAACATAAACGGCAATCGCGAGCTCATAGACTCTAAGCTAAGGCAGGCAAGCGGCACTGCGACCATCTGTAAAGGCTGCTATGGAGGCCTTGCCTGAGACGCAGGAAACCGTTTTGCTGTCACATCAGCATGTCCAACAGAACGACCCCATCCAACCCTAAAGCCCCAATCACCCAATCCAAGAAACCATTCAGTTCCAGAATTTTGTCAACGACCAGGCAGGGGCCCTCCGTAAGCTTGCCGGCGGCATCCGCCACGGAACGGAGCAGGAGGCCGGCGTAGACGTTGCCATCTTTGTCGCCACAGGCCAGGTCCATTCCCTTGAAGCTACCACTTTTGTAGCTTCCACCTTTCTTGTGAAAGTACCAGACTCCGCAGCTCGCCTGCCTAGGTCTCTCAGAGATCTCCAGGCGATCGCTGCCTGACTCACAACCTCTCTCGGACGCCCGGCTACCCTTCGTCGCCATGAGCATAGGGATCGGCATGATCGGGTGAGTGGACGTATGCTTCGAGCTCCGCGATACGGAAGCGCTTCTCGGCAATCCTCGGCGGGCTTCTGTACAAGAGTCACAAGAGCATGCCTTGCAAGCACAAACACTTCAGTCGAAAGTGTCAAGAGATCCCAGTGGTTCATGAGATCGTCAGCGGCCTTTTTCAGGGCCGCGACTTGCGCGGCATAGGTCACCTCCGCTTTCAGCCCCGACCTCCGCGCAGGGATGCTTTGGCTTTCACCAACCCCGGCCCCGCGAAATCCGAGGCGGACCTGAGGCAACCGAGCCTCAGCTGCGCAAGACAGGAGGGGAAGGGGAGGGCACGGGAAAAGGACAAGATTCACGTTTGCAGGGCCAGGGGACGTGTCTTGCAGACTGTCTGAGTTCACCTGCGCACCCTCCGAGCCCTTCTCTTGCACGCAGGGCTTCTTGGCTTCAGGTGCCGCGACATTGGCAGCAGGCCGCTTGGCAGAGGGTGCCATGGCTCGTGGAATCCTGGAAGTTGCCGTACAAGTCTGCTTGTGTTGAGAATCTGGCTGTGGAATGGAAAGGACTCATTAAAGACACATGCAATCCTCGCTTTCTAAATAGCCTGACGCCTGCTGCCAATGCACACCCAAGGCCGTGGGCGCGCGCTCTTTTGTGGCGAAAGTGAGCACAACGAGTGTCCGCCTCACACGTGTTCCCCGTTTGTGCTACCGGGGGGGGCACCAGGCTTCCTGGAGGGAGCGCAGCTTAGCGCTGCACTGGTGGCTTGGTGTTCCACGTGTTTCCTTCGAGTTCAGGTGCCTCGCCATGCATTGTATATATAGCACACCAGTGACTGGCGACTAGGTCTCGTGAGAGATGACACAGAAAGATGTGTGCGGTGCACGGTGAAAGCCCACGAGTAAGTGCTCCACTTGCCACAGGGGACAGCCTCCGCCAAACGGCAAAGGCAGTCGCTGGAGGCAAGCACGGCGGAGTCGCCCTTGCCCTTGAACGAACGTTCGAAGGCAAGCACGGCTCCGCCTTGCAAGTTTCCGTGTGCTTGTCACTTGCACGCGACGGCCTTTGCAGTTCCACGCACTGCTCGGACGCACCCACGATTGTAGCGATGTCCGCAGATGCTAGCGAAGTGGTAATGAAAATGTACCCATTGCTCCAGCAAAGGTGGAGAGAAATCTTCGCTTACGGGGCTGGCACCGTCATCCGAGAGGAGCAAAAATGTCGGGAGAGGCTTCGCTCTTCGAGCCTGGATGTAGCTTCGTCACCATGATTTGGCAGGAACTCGGACACTTGCATCTTGGCCTTCTGTCCGCTAGACTGCTGCACCCGGGGCGCTTGATGCCTTTTGCTCCTTTCTTGCTCCTGCTTCCGTTGGCACCTGTCGACTTCCTGCGCTGCAGGGCTTCGTCCTCTTCCACCTTGCCTCGCCCGCCGCATTCATGGAACATGTGCTGCGGTAAGGCCCTTCTTGATGTCACCTGGGCTCACTCCCATCGAGTTGCAAATCTACTGTGGCGGCAGTTGTGCCTTCAGCCCTCGACGAGCGCCCTATCATCAGGAGTAGTGGGAGGGGCAAGGGAGCTGATTCCCTCTTTGCGCTGACTGTTGTTTGCAATTCTAGTGTCTTCTTGGCAGATTTTGTAGACCCTTCTTATGTGAGTCTACCCCAAAACGGCCAGAAGACCCAAGTCGAGGGTAGGACAAAACTTGGTGACCAGCAGCGTAGCGCACTAAACCCTAAACCCTAAAGGTCGAGTTCGGAATTGAGACCCTAGGGTCGGCTTCAAGCCTTTAGGCGTTCCTTGGGCCACAGGTTGGGGCTCGGTGCTTTCTGGGCTCAGAATTCGCTGGTAGCTTCTGGCTTCATTCAGATTTGGGAAGTATGTTGCGGATTGTTGCGGCGTGAGCACCCTGCTGACAGCTAGAGGACATGAGCATGGAGCTCCGAGCTGGCACTGCTCTGAAGATGAGGAGGACTAGGCTGTAACCAAACGCTACAAACCTTCAGATCAAGACTGAAGCAATGCGCTTGCAGGCTCTTTGGTCTGCAGGCACGGCTTAAGCGTCGCTTGCTCAGTCTTGCCTCAGGCCGCAGAGCAGGCGCCCCAAACGGGCAGCAAATTCAGCTCGTAGCGGCGGCACTCCGATCTTCACACGACCAGCTCCGACACTCGGTCGAATCGCAACCTCGAGTTGAAGAGAGGCTATCGTGCACTAGCCGCAGGTACTTTCGAGCTTGGCTCTGCTCGAACGCAAATGCTCCAAGCAAGCGTTGCACGGTACTTCAAGGCCCCGGCAGGAGAGTCTCGTGCGGTTCGATGCCGACACTACCCACGGTCGGGAAGCGCTCAAACGTGTTCAGTAAGTGCTTCTGAGCCCAGAGGTCTCGCACGCTTGCCGAAGAGCCCTTGGGCCATCCCAGTGTGGATAACTCCTTTGCAAATTCAGATGATGTCTGGGGCCTATGGTACTGTAGAATATAGTACTTGAAGAAACAACTCGCTCGGTAACCTCAGAAGCGATGCCGAGCCGCCACACTGGCAAAGACTTTGGTATCGGACGGATTGTAAAAAGCCACGGCCGTGGATATATCGCCCATCAGTCTGCTGTAAACCCTCCAAGTACCGAAGTCTTTCACCAGCCGACCCGGAGCGGTATCCGCCTGGTTCACTGAAAGGACCTCTTTGTTCAGAAGGAGCTCCTTCTGCAGGGGTGTAATGGAGGGCCTGCAGCTGCCTGATGTGAAGTTCCCTAAGATCTGATCCGTCTTCGAGCAGTTCAGGAGGGGAGTCGTAACGATGAGCGGTGAGGCCAGGATAGCCCACATGGAGACCTCGGTTCGGTACTCGACTTTCGTCATGTTCCCGGTCTTCCCGTTGGCATGGGCGGCCTGCCGGTAGTTCCCGGTCTCCAGCATGTCCATGTCATTCCAGGCAAAGGGGCGGCCGGCGTACTCCTCAGGGATCTTCGTCCTCTCTTCGATGACCCTCTTTGTGTCCGACCAGAGCGGGACGTGATCGCCTGTGGCCCTCCAGGACTGGGCGACTGCAGGGCCCCAGGTCCAGGGCTTCTCCTTCCCCCATTCGCACATGTTGAAGTGGATCGGCCGGTTTGTGGCATTCAAAGCTTTCGAGAAGGCTGTGTAGGTCGGCTCAGGCTCCATTCCCTCCGTGAAACACCAGTCCATCTTCACCACGTCCACGCCCCACTCTGCAAAAACCGCTGCATCCTCCGCGAAATGCCCCTTGGAGCCAGGTCGCCGACCGACGCAAGTGTAGGTCCCAGCGCAGGTGTACAGTCCAAAGGTGAGGCCCTTGGAGTGCGCGTAGTCTACGATGGGCTTCATGCCATTCGGAAAGTGCTGCCTGTCTGCTTGCAAGAAGCCCGAGGCATTTCTCTCGTGGTCCGCCCAGCAGTCATCCAAATGAAAGTGGCGATAGCCGGCATCATAAAGGCCAACCTCAGGGCTTGGGAAAGCGGTATTCGCCCTTGTCTGGCCTCGTGCCTTATCACAACCCCCCTTGATGCCTGATGAAAGGCGTCGACAGAAAGCTTCACGCTCGCTTCGTCACAGAAGTCGAACTCTGGTGCCTGCGCTTCTGGGCCCGGCCACTGGCGGCCGAGACCTACCCAACTGGACCAGCCCAGAGGTGGCAACCGGGAGTGGGGAGCGCCATTGTCGTAGCCGCGGCTGAGCCAGCCCTGCAAGCCCAAGGAAGCGAAGAAGAGCCAGGACATGAATTAAGAGCTGTTCCCAGGCTGTCTTCCCCACCTTCTCTTCAAAGGGGCTGCAGCGGACACGACACTTCCAAAGAGACCGCTGGTGCAACTCTCAGAACTCCGGAACAGTGCAGCAAAGCGGCAGCCTTCTGCTTCCTGAACTTCTGGAAGGTTTTGGGCCCCCCCCGAGCAGGTCTGCTTCAACCGCGTCCAGGATCACCTTTTCCTCCTCCTCCTTGTCCTTCCAGATGCATCTTTGCCTCCAAGCCTAGCCCCAAGCCTTCATGCACCAAGGAAGAGTGCATGGTAGTACGACAAATTGCAGAAACACCTTTGGCCCAGCTCAAGCTTGCCGGAGCCCTTTAAGCCCGTGTCTCACATCTACTTCTACTGGTGAAACCCCTAACATCGGCGCTGCTCAGGATCGTCTTCGACCTGGCCGAGAGGTGCCTGGCGGAACACGGCAAGCATCTGGTAAACAACTAAACCCATAATCACATGACCTTACACGTCTACGGAGTCTGCGGGATCGTGGGTCTTACATCTTACCGAACAATGCTACTCTGCCCCAGAGTGGCTAAATTTCTTGACGTTGGCCGTGCTGCCGTGAAGCAAACGAAGCGGGACCTCTCAAATCTAGGCCCTAGGCTTGAGCCTGTATCATGCAGACGAAGTTTGCAGCGCCATAGCCACCTCCACAAGGCTGTTCGCCACCTGCACTATCGCCGACTTGACTCAATGGTACTTTGGTGAAGACATGGCCGCACAAGCCAGGGCAAGAACGCCCTCGCCTCTTCGGCGGAAGGTGGTGGGCCGTCCCCCCACGCATGATGCAAATCCACTTCTGCAAGTTCAGGAAGCTTCAAGGCCTTTGACGCGTCACGTGCAGGCTACACGGTGTACCCAAAACACGAAGGAGCACCTGCCTTTGCAAGCAGCTTCATGGGAACAGGCGAATCCTGCAGCTAAAACTACCAGCATCAAGCGCTTGGCGGAGCAGCCACCGGCAAGCGTCCTTCAAGTCGAGATCGATGTCGCTGCTGCGACTGACGATGGCGGGCCTCGGTGTCGAAGGTGCTGGGAGCTGCACAGCTGACATGCACAGGGGCTGGACAGAAGTAAGCGGAGCAATTCCAGCCGAACGGTCAACTCGCTGATCTTCGGCGCCTGAGCTGAGCTCACCGAAATCTTCGCATCCGGGTCGCAGGACGAACTCGGGTCTCAGGTCTGGACTTCTGGCAGAAGCAATGACTTGACGGTTGGTTCCGGACGGAGTTCGGACATGCGCATCCCCAGCTCCTTCACAGCTTCGTGCTCATACTCCATGTCGCCAAAGTTGATGATGTTGCGACGAGAGTGCCCTTCACGCCCACTGAAGAAATCAAGGAATTCTTGCTTCATCGCATGGAACTTTGCTGCCGACATCTCCACGAACTTGAAGCGTTGGGTATCCTCTTCGTCCCAGTAAGCATCGAGGTGCTTCGCAGGGATCACACTGTCATCCTGGTGCCTTACCTTCTTGCGCAAGCGCAAGGCTCTCAGAACTTCCTTGGCATACAAAACCGTAGGTCCCCCTGGGCTTTGAAAGAGAGAGACGAGCTCCGGTGCAAAGCGTCTCAGGCAGTTCTCAACCCAACGGCTTTGTGCGTTGGTGACGATGACGCAGGATCCGGAGTATTCCATGCAAGCTTTCAGGAACCGCTGCAATGACTCGCCCCAGGCGTGCAGTAGCTGCTCTTGCTTTGCGGTAAGACCTTCGGAGTCCCATTGGTGTGGCAACCCCCATCGGTCAAAAATCTCGGTGGACGGAAACAGAGTGTCATCCCAATCGAGATATATTAGTGTAGAGGATGTGTCCAGCACAGGTGATGCATGCCCCGCACAGCTTGCCGAACTTGAGCTGTAGGAGCTCCACTGAACGCTCCCTGCAGCTGTGGTGTCCAAGCTTGCACCCCTGGATTGCAGGTTGAACGCCTTCGAGGGACAAGACGGACGGCGCGACACGCTGGAAGATGCCATTGTCCAAGCTATGCTGAACACTGAACACTGAATTAGGCCCTGGGTAGGATGCTACATACATCGAACTGACTGGTTCAGACTGGTCTGCTGGAACTGACTGAGAAAACTTGGGAAAAGCTTCCAACCACATCACAACAATAATGTGCACTTCCTTATCTACAAGCCTACAAGCCCCTCGGCTGCTGCATCGGTGACTCCAGGCATGCATTCAGGCATGTGTGGTCAAAGTGCACTACGCAGACTTCGAGAGCTCCGACACGAGGGTCCACTGTCCTCATGGAGTCACCACAGGCTGTGGCAGGACAGAACCATCTGTCTGAGCCAGCCCACCGCCTTCTCAAAGTCGCCATGGTCATGGGCATGGCGAGCGAGGACTCACCAAGGGCACGTGCGCAGGGCAAAGACAGTCACAACGCTTTAGTTGAACTGTTCTGTGATGCTTGCTTAGAACATGTCCGTGACTGGCAATGACGAGCCTCTGCCCCGGTTTGGTCTGCTTTCCTGATGTTTGTGGTGGTGTCATGGTGTCTTTACTGTAGTTGCTGCGCCCGTCCTGCTCTTCTTAAATCCGGCACTCCGCAGGCATAGCCGTGAAGATGGCGCACGGCTTCAGCTTACTCCGAAGATGCCAACCGGCTCAAACTATGTCTGGGCGTTCATCGACTGTGCAGAAAGAGCGAGTGCCTTGTAAATCCGCAAACACTGCACTGACATCCTGCGTTCTCTCGTACTCCAGCAACACACCGTACTGCTGCAGAAGGTTACCAATCTCATCGTCCTGCTCCTGTCAGTGGAGAGGATATCTCAGATCTCAGCCTTACTCTCACTTCACCTGACAAGTATGTCTCATCCCTGGGTGCACATGTTCGCATCCTCCTCTTGCACAGGGATCGGATCATCTTCTTTTTTCTCAGCCGGGGAACTTTCCTGTCAGAGTGTGTCAGCTATAACAAAACTCAGTACGTGCCGGACATCGGCCTGCTTTGTCGAGTGCTCCTTCAACCATAGGTTGAAGCGCTTGAGCCTGATACGGATAGGAAGAGCCAGACTGCAAATCTGCTGTACCGGGTCTCCGGCTGATCCATATGCTCAGTGCAGCATGTCTCCGACTCTTAAAACCAGAAAGCCTGGGTCGACTTGTGTCATGGGCTTGCAAGCCAGGGTTTGGGTCAATTACCTCTATGTCGAAACCCTAAACTTAAACAGACATTGACGTAAGGGATTTTGGGAATCAGGGTTTGGGGACATTGTCCAACCATGTCGGCGCTAATCACTGTCTTCGCGTGTCTGGGCTGCAGCGAGCGAGTGATGCCACGTGCATGAGTCGAGACGGACGAGGGACGGACAAAGCTGGGCTTGGCATCTTTTGCTTGAAGCCCCCACGTCTGCAGATGAGGCCGACGAATTCCAAGAGCACCTCTGAAACTGTACGTGTCGATGTAGAGGACTCAAGATGCTGAGATAGTGTCTCGCTGGCGAGATGCTGACGCATCATGCACAGCATCTGCACAGGTGTATGCAATGCTGCCGACACACATGGCAATTTTGCACGGGCTGCTTCTTGCAGCACTGGTACGTGGACATCAACTCGTCTCAACTCCACATGCGCTACAAACGGCGAATTTGATTGCGTGCATTCTTCTGCCGCTCCAACTCGCAATCGAGCGAAATGAGCTGTCAGAAAATGCAAGTGCCCCCATCATGCTGACAAAGCGGAGTCACTTCCCGTCGTGACTCAGGACAGACTGCAGCTGCCCTCCCTGCAGCTCGTTGGACAAACAAGATCATGAGGCTACCCCTGGCCGGCCTGCCTCGTTTGGAAGCGGATGAATCGGGTCACTTCTTCGTGGCACCTGCCCCGGCAACAGCCTCGTCAAAGTCAAGAAAGACAGCTTCCACTGCATCGTGGCACTTACATCCGCCCCCTCTGCAGCGCCAAGCACCCAACGAGCTTGAAGGCACTGGTCAGCCGCGCAGCAGCCTCCGGCGACACGGGCGCTTCACGCTTGGCGACGCCAAAGCAAACTGCCCTTCCGACGGATCTTCCGACCCGCTGTGGCCTTGGGGAGCCGGCGCTCCTGCGTGCTGTCTGCGGGGCCTGAGACACAGCTCGTTGTAACAGCGCGCCTATACTCTCAAGGGCACAGCCCACGCCGCTTTTCTGACACGTGCCCTGAGCCGGAACTTGCCGCGCCGCCTTCCAGCACTTTTCACCTCCGGAGGGCATCTCCCCTGTACAGTGTGGGATCAGTAGGCCAGGATGGCTCAAGTGAAGATGTGGATCACATGCTGAGCTTCCTCCGCCGGGACGGTCAAAGGCTGTGTGCACGACACACGACATGGTGGTGCAGGGCACCATGCACAGAACTGTCGTGACATGCTTTGGGTTCTGCTGGTTTCCCCGCGCAATGCAAAAGCACTCCAACAAATGTCTGATCTGGCTTGTGGAGCAAAGCCTTTCCTCGCACTTGTGCCTTCCGATGCATGAAAACCGCCGAGTCTGAGGGTGGTGTGCGGCCTACAGGGCCTACAGGCAACGATGGGGTCGAGATGGACCTCCTCACGCATTGGTGAAGTTAGGAAGGGAATTGCATCGCAAACCCATGTGAATCTCCCATGAAGCATTGCACTCCGACACCCACTAAGTCAAAGCTAAGGCTCTGCTCGACAAACCGGGCAAGTTCCTCTGTCATCAGGACAAAGCTCCTTCGCGCACGGGCCGCAAACACAGCCTCAGTTTGCAGGGGTTGTCACTGCAACTTCAATGTGCTATCTGAACTTCTGAACAGCACAGCTCTCGATTAACGTGCTCGATGCAAGACTCCTTACCAAACACGAACGCCTTACGCTAGCAGACATCCAACTGCCGGCAATGGCACGGTGACCGCAGGGGACGAAAGCGTGGGTTTTCCTTGGCAGTTGCGATGGAGGCTGGAGGGCAAGGCTCACCAAGAATGGGAAATGGAAGAGAATGCATTGCCGAGCTACGGCGAGGCCAGGCAAACCACGCACATCAAATCCTCGTCCTCTTCAGGCCCGGGACTCTTCCTGTGTACATCCTGAGTCTCGTCTCGTTGGGCTTTGCAGGAGATCCCGAAGCGTCTGAGCCGAGTCCGAGGGTCTGCCGTGGCTCGCACACCAACTTTCCCACGAGTCTCTGTCAGGATCCGGCTGGCCGGCCTGGTTGCTGAGAGGTGCTGAGAGCGCAGCACACTACAGAAAGCGGAAGAGAGACGAAAGGAGAAGCTGAGAACACGGCAGCGGGCCCGGAATTGGTCGGCCAGAGGGCCCCGCGGAGGGCCCAAGTGGAGTCGGGGCAGGGGGGAGGCACGTTTCTCTAGGGAGAGGGGGCTGAGAACCCACGTGCCTGACGTAGCCTCCGTGGCGCGAGGCATTCTGGGCAGGGAGGGCGGCAGGATGCCGTGGCTCGGGCTCGGCTTGGCCCATGCCCGCTCCGCTTCTGAAAGGAGGCGCCGCCCGCTCCGCACTTGCAAACGCAAGGGCAGGATCAACAGTTATTGAAACTTGGCCAGAGCAGCCGGCGCCGTTGTAAGCGGCCACGACAAAAAGGTGCCTTCCACTGTCCAGATGGCCCACCTGTGCTTTCTGAGGCAGAGTGCCTGAAGCCCCAACGTCTCGCGCCAAGCGGTGTTTGCCGCCAGAGTCGAGGTTCACCACCTCGATGTAGTAGCCATCCACTGGACCCCCGAGCTCCGAAACTTTCGAGGATCTCTGACAGTCGTCAGGGAAAGTCTGCGCCTCCGGGGGTTTCACCTCCAACTCCAACACCCCCGCCTTGGGCACCACCCGCAGGCTCCCGGGAGTGTCCGGGCGCCTCAACCCCAACAAACTCCGCAGCGGTGCCGGAGCCGCAGCGCTGTGGCCCAAGAGCCGCCTCAAAGAAGCCAAAAGGCTGCAGAAAACACGCGGAGAGAGTTCCCATGAGTTCCCCAACCACCTGACTCTGGAGAGAGTCCCCCTAGAAACAAGTCGCCTTTGCAGGCTCAACACTCTAAAGCCACAACTCCAAACTCTCAATCCCCACCACAAGTATATGAGACTTCTGGTGTCTGACAAAAGATCGGAAAGAGCGGGTTCTCTCAACTCTGAACCCTGAAGGATGAACCCGAAACCCCGAGCTTCAAGCTGGCGACGAGGCGCTGCAGATATCTGCTCAGTTCCTGCTCCCTCTGCTCACAGAACTCCACCGAAAGCGACTGTGTAAAGGCCGGAAGCCAAGATCTCTCAGGACCGGGAGGCAGGTCTCTAGCATCCACAAGAGAGCACAGCTCCTGTCAGGATCGCAACCCAGGCACAGCACTAGAGACATACACAGATAGGCGAACCGACTAAAATTGTATGATCGACGCACCGACAACCAGACTGCAAGACTGGCCGACATTGCTAGGTAAGCCATGAACACCTTACAAGCCGCAGTAGGACAAGCATTACAGGCCCCGAAACCTACTCGCCTCCATAAAATGTAAAGTTTTCCGTCATCGGCACATCATCATGACCGCCCGTCATCGCCATGATGCATCGTCATCAACCACACGAGTACCATCATGACAACCCATCTTCTGTGTCTGTTCATCACACCAACACTGGTTTGAAAAGATTGATGTTTCGTCCTCACTGTCCTCACCGATACCCAAACCAGCATCCTAGTCACCTTGTGCCGATTTCCTAGTTGTTGCCCGGGCCTTTAGTGTTCACGCACCTATGTCTCTGCAAATGGGTAGATTAGTATATCGTTGTTTGTTGTTCCTGGAGCTTAAGGCCTGCTGTGGTCTAAGCTTCTTGCCAAACCGATGCACTGGTAACCCTTTAAGCATACTAGCACAAGCCCCGCCACAAACACCTATAATCCTAGCACACATTTTTTCTCTGACTCGAAAGCCTCATGCGCGTGATGGAAGTCGGAAAATCGCCGCCAGGTCGTCCAAGAAATTCCACTGCAATGTTCCACTTTCAAGCAATACTCCACGTGCCCTCCTCGGAGGTTGCCAACCACAAGGACTCTACCTATAGGAAACGGGTGGCCATGATCTTTGGGGCCAAGGGGCCTACGTCCTCGTACTCGGTGATTGCTGCCTTGCAAAACTGTGCACAAGACAACGGGAAGACGTGCAACACTCCGAAATACTCCGAACTCAGCCCATGCCACGGTGAATCTTCTCTGGGGCGCAGAATCTGCATCCATAGCACGATCATCCTTCACTGGGCCAACTTGTGCACCGTGTCGCATTTTCCGTATTGCTCGATGGATGCTTTGGGAAGCTGGTGGGTGTTGTCCTGGGATGGGTTGCTGCAGTGCGGTGGAAGCAGATTTGAGCCAAGCTATACGAAAACAAGCAGATGCACCTTCAATACTATGCAGCCGTCATCTGCACTCACTCACTCACTCACTCACTCACTCACTCACTCACTCACTCTCAGTCTCATCTTGGCGCAGGACGTGCGCCGTCGTTCTGTCCATAGAACCTTGCAACATCCACTTTCAACTTGCAAGGCCCGTGAGGACATGTAACGAATCACGTTTAGCTGGGAAGGTCTGTGGCTCATGCTTTTCATCATTTACATCTTAGCTAAAGCGCCCCAAGGATTGGACGAGAAACCTCTGAGCCTTCCTGAAGCTGTTCCGACACATTGCTGACCTAAGGTCCAGTCCGGTAAGCTGCGACAGTATGGGAGAAGGGGATCTCAGAAACCGCTTCTCAAAGCTCGACCCTGCCCCGCAGGTTTTGAAAGTACTGGGCGCTTGCTACCATTGCCAGCATTTCCCACCAGAGTATTTAGATGTGTCCTTTCGTTTTTGCTGATATGTCTGTTACCGACAGTATTGCTTGAGGACACATCACTGTGACACGTGTCACCTTCCGCTTGGAAGCAACAGACATGCAACATATCAGATATCAGATATCTGTTCGAGGAATCCCGAACGGCGCCCAGCACAAGCAAAGAACACACAAGGACACAAACCTGCGACAGAGAACAGCAGAGCACCACTTTGATTAAGGGCTGCGCTTAAGCAGTTCGGATGCAGCATCATCCGGAGCCAGACCCGTCGTCTTCGACTTACCATCACTGTCCTTGCCGTCCTTCAGGTTTCAAGATATTTCAAGACACTCAAACTGCCCAATGGGTCGCAACGATTCCCATCCTCCGCATCCAGAAGAGGGATTGTGGCAGGGTTTGATTTCAGAGAGCCTGGAGAGTCCTGGCGTGGTAAGCAGCATACCGGAGCCCCGGCACTGACGAGAACAAAGCTCCTCCAGCTCGAGTTTTGCCGCCACCCCACGGAAGCCGGATATGCCAGCAGAGTCGCACAGAGCTGAATCACGCCGGCCTGCTGGGACTCAGCTAGCAGGCAGAAGGGACATAAACCCCAACGTGGGCGGGCACCGCGGCAGAGTACCATGCCCTCCGCGATGGATTTGACCTCAGTATGCGCCACTGCTTAGTCACGTGGGGCACCCATCCGTATCTTTCTGACATGATCTGGGGCGGGCTACGCCTACGCGTATGACACACCGCAGTCACTCGACTATGACCCGAGTTTAACACGACCCTGCATGCAGTACCGACTCTAAGCGTGTCATCGTCGTCACCGATCAACACCCCAGGCCCTAAGCCGTCTACCAATTTGTCCAGGGTTTACGAAGTTTAAAGAACGCTGAGCATGATTCTTGCTTCCGAAGGACCATGTCAGGCAGAGTGCGCTGAAACTTCTCCTGCATCTGACCCAACACCTTCAAAACAGCGCGAACCTACTCTCCAGCGCAGAGGCTGGGTGAACGGCGAACACTTCGACTTGCAACCAGCCTCTGCTCTGGCTTCTGCATCTGCTGCTCGAGCCTCCTTGTGCGCCACTTCCAGCTGTAGCTCCTGCTTGGACTCCCCTAAACCCGGTCGTGCAGATGTCGCAGTTCGAAAGGATCTCGCGTGCGAACCTCAACTCGCGAGGCCCGCTGCCGGAGTTCCTCGCCCGAGACCCAGCCCCGGCACCGGAAGCATGGGAAAACACTGGGACGTCCTCGGCCTGTCCCTCCGCAAATGCTGCCCTTCTGACCGCCTCAGCTTGGGCACAGCCGGAGTAAGACCAAGGCTCGGCTACGGGGAGCCTCCTCTGCTCTCCTCTGCTCGAGAACGGCCTTCTGTTCCATGTCCCCTGCCTGCCCAGGGGATTTTGGTTCCAGATTCCGAAGCCTCTGCAACATGGGACCCGTCACCGCCTAGGGCTGCTCCCACTCCGAAGTCCAGAAGGCTTTTTCCCCTTGAGTTCGGTTGGCATTGGGTGCCTTCTGCATTGCCAGTTCAAGCTGCGCCTGTCCAAGATGGCGGTCCGCTCTACAGAAAACCCTCAAAGCACAGCCGATTTGGACCACGGGCCTCCTTTCGGACCAACGCCTCACGGAGACGCACCTGCAAAGCACAACGTGTCAACACTGAGCTGTCTACAAGACGGCAGAAGTCGCTCGGATTCCCAGCTTCGACGTCGGCAGCTCGCTTATGTGTATCGGATCGCGCCTGTCACTTGGTGAGCATTCAGTGATGACTCATGACTCGATCGGGTCCCTTGCGCCTTTTCCAAGATTTCTTCCAGCTTGCCCTTGGGGTTTGTTGCAGGCCTGCCAGCTGGCCGCAAAGAAGAACGGCCCCTGAGCCAAAGCTCCTGGCAGCGCGTCCTCGCGGTAGCCTTTGGAGCAGCTTTCGACTTTGGAACAGACTTGGTCGGCCTCGGCTTGCCTCCTGGCGTTCAGGATGTGCTGCAGACTAAACAAAACACATCACAACGGCAGCACTGCACACCTTTCCCTTTCCCTTCGCCCCACCAGGCCTTTCGATTCGAGCTTTGAGCGTTGTGGAGCAGGGCTGGGCTGACGCCGGGATGGCTCCTGCGATTTTGACCTCTTCGGCGGCTCTTGCGACTTCGACCTCTTCGGCGGCTTTGCCGACTCCACTGACTTCGACCTCTTCGGCGCCATCTTCCAAAACGGCCTCCAGAGGCACTCAACTCACATCTGAGCCAAACGACACCAAGACAGAAGAGATCACAGCCCTCAGCGCTTTGCCTGGCTCCGGGCTTGATGCTGCAGAAGCGAATCCCCCAGAGCGGAGAGTCGGGCCAAACACTGCGAAAACCCAACAAAAAAACACGTTCGCCGCCGCCGCAGCTCAGTGTGCCACCGTCCAAAATACCGAGAAAAAAAAGGGCTGCCGTTTGTCCGCCTTTTTGTGCAGCCTGAAGGGCTATGGGTGAATCGGTGAGCACCACCGGTCTACAACTGGCAAAGTCCTCACAGGGCTACCAGTGAAAACTGTACCGAAGCAGGAAGACATGCGCGAGCTCTTCCAACCAAGCCACCACCACATGCTGCCTAGAGCCGGCCTGGGCCAGTGAAGCTTGCGCTGTGTCTGCCGATCTTATACTCCTTCCTCACTGTGGGGTGGATCAGGATCTCTGCGCGTCTGACAAGGCCAGCTGCACTCTTTGCTCAGCTTGTGCCAGGCAAGCCAGGGGAGTCCCCGGCTGCATCCTCCTTCTGCGGATCAGCTGCCACAGGCCAGTCTTCATATAGTGCGAGTGGGGAGGCTCAAAATATCGAGACTGCGGACTGTACTGTACCATGCTCAGGAAACCCGTGCTAGCTTGCTGCACAACGACCAAGTTCACACGCACCACACGGGTCGGTCCTGCGAATCTGACAGATCTTCGATACGGTGGTAGTTCTGCAGCTCGGTTGAAATCTCGGCCAAAATGGGGGGCGAAGCAGCTTGGCCAAGGCAGCAGATGAGGATGCAGGTACCGAAGTAGCCGGGGAGGGGACCAAATACTTGCTGTCAAAAATTTGTTGGCGCACCTGAGGCCGAGAGCGCACTGAGCACAGCAGAGTGCTGCGACGCCGAGACACAGGGGATCACATGCCCGGGCCTCTCCGAGCCAGAGTCTCATCCGAGGAAACGCTGAAAGCCTGCTTTCCGGATAGTTTCAGCGATTGGGCCCTATAGTTTTACCATCTTACACAGATTCAGGCGCACGTTATCCGCAGGGTCAGGGCGATGTGGTAGCAGTACATGAGAAGCGCAGCTTTCAAGTACTCCTCAGATCTCAAGGCTGTCGACAAGCCTCACAGTGTCGACACTAAGCTCTCAGTGATGGACATGACCGGGCTCCATGAACTGCAGCAAGGTGAGCACAGCCTCAAACGAAGGCATTCAAGGCTAAACTCGGCTAAACCTTTCCTTTCATGACTGCACATGTCTCTCCAATTTGCTCTCCACTGCAGTGACGGACCGTACGGGGGAGCACCAGATGAAACACCACAGCCTGAATCAGAGAGGAGCGGAGGCTAAACAGCTCAACGCAGTCAGTTCCAGTTGCACCAACCAGCTCTTCTGAGTCAACATGCATCAACATGCAACAGACCAAAAGGATCTAGATCTCACGATCATGCTTGCATCGTGCTCTCAGCGCTCGCACCTCCAGCATGGGGAACACCAACATCCTTCAAAACAACTCGTGGGCCTTGTGTCTATTCTAAGCTTTTCCAGAACCACACAACTTCGGAAGCACGACGGTCCGCCAAAGACGCCAGTGGGCCCGCAAGTTGAAGAAGAGGTGTGTCAGAGAGCCTGATGCTTCGATGCCAAGCTGGAGCCCAACTCCCCCGAGTCGCAAGAGGAAGCCTTGAGCCTCCTCCCACACAGCCTCGATCCTCGGCCATGCTCCCAGTAAGGAGCACCAGAGAGCAGAAGAAAGGAAGAGAGAGAGCCCGGCTCCCGATGCAGATTGTGCAGTATCACATCGCTTTGTACCAGGCGCCAGATCACCTCGCAGCAAAATGGTCGCATTGGCAGGCACAATCGTGGAAGGGAGGGGGCGCCTTGGTCAAGACCAGACCCAGGCTCCAGCAGTCCGTGAGCAGGAAGATGATGGGAACCTCCCGCGCTGCGAAGGCTCGGCTTTCGGAAGGGCTCCCACGATGCAAGCAGCTCTAACTCTTTTCCTTCCTTCGCTCCGGAGCACGCTCCCTGGACCAAGTGCGCGGTGCCGGGGGGGGAGGGGGTGAGGCACCGAGGCGCTGTGATCTGCGAGCTGTGGCCGCTGTGAGACGCTGCGAGACTCTGTGCAGCACCTTCGCTCTTCCTTGACCAGGCCCTTCTTCATCGCCAGTACGCCATCAGATGCCTTGACGGGATGACATACGACCGACAAATAGTGAGCAGAACGTGGATCTGTAACGTGCTAATTTCGTCGAACGGATAGTGCCGATGTCTTCGGAAAGCCAAGTTACCACTGCAAAAGGGGCAGGAGCAGTTGCCGCTGCTGTCATGCTGCGGTCCAATGAAGCAGCAGCATCCAAGAAGCAGGAGAAACCTCAGCTCCAGGACACACTGCAGGCTTCCTCTTAACCAGCGTGTCACGCATCCTCTTCCAACCTGATTAGAACCCCTTCAAGGACGCTGTGCCGAGAATCTGACGGAGGAAGAAAGTTTGCTGTTTGATGACAAGGGGTAAACAATGTGGGAAAGCTGCATGCAGGTATCTTGGGAGAAACAGAAGCCTGTACAGGAGCCTTTTTGACCAGCTGTTGTCCACTTGTGCTGCTGCGGAGCACACCACGTGCCACAGCTCTGAGCAAGCCGTGCGCCCGCTGCTGGCACGTCACCCAGACACTCACACATCTCACTGCCGTCGATGCTCTCCAGAACCACCAAGCCTGAGCCGAGAACCACACGCTTAGCACGCAAAAACCTCCGTCTGAAACAGAAGCAACACGCTGACAAACGTCTCAGGCAAGCACCATGGCGACAACAGCGAGGGCAGCCGCCAAGGACCTTCATCTTACACCAACATCAAACATCGGATCTATGTTTAGGTGTCTGTAGGCCATTGTAGTAACCAGGCGAGCCGAAACTAAGCTGTCAACATGAAGAGGGTAGAACTGATTGCACAGCTCCCGCTCACAATCACGGCTGCCACTACCGAAAGAAGCCTGACCAGCAAATGCAGTGAGCACAGCCCCGGCTCATCCGCGGCTTCACGGCCCTGGCCTGGCATCGCCCAGCTCTGGTGCCCAGCAGACGCCCCACAGGCTCAGCGGGCTCAGCCCTACCTCAAGCCACGCGACAGCTTGGGAAAGCCTCCGTGGTCCTGCTCGGCACTGGCGGCTGCTAAGCCTCGAGCAGCCTCCTTCTTCGATGACAGCAAGTCCCGCGCCCCGCAGTGCCCTCTGGCACATGTGCAAGCAGCCGGGCAGCTTTCCATGCTCCAGTCGACATGGGTGCAGGACCAATCAGATCTGTATCCACTTCCGACAACCCACCCTAAACCCTACACCCTAAAGCCACTTCCCCCTGCTTTTGCATTCCGTGAATTCCGTGGTACTGGCGTGGCCAAAACCTTGCTATAGTGACTGTCTTGAACTAGAGTGTAGGCTTATTGTGCTGCTGCCTGGTGGGTCAAACGTTTGAAGCCGAGTCATGCAGCGCGGCTTCTTGTTGAAATGCAGGGAAGTTTGCAATGAGACTTTGCTGTGCAGGTGCCTGGAAAACCGATTGCACTTTCAGGGGCAGCATAAGCCTCACAAGTTGAAAGTTCCAACTCTCGATATGTTCAAGGTGAGCCGCAACGGAAACAAAGAAACCGCCTCAGCAGCAGGGTTCCCAAACCCAGCGGCAGCACGATGGTCCTGAGCAACACGTCCATATCGATGCAGCTCCAACGCACGAGCAACCGCCGAAAATCTCACGGGCTCCACGGCTGCTTTTTCCAAGCAATCATACTGCTGCATGGGTTAACCTCAGGACGAAGGGCACTGGGAAACGATTCTCGTAGATCTGCACAGAGCACTCTCAATCGGACTTAATATTTAAAAGGTCCAAGTCTCTCGGCCATCATCGCATCCAGTGGCACTTCATGTGCAGCATAAGCTGGGTCACCAGGACACAGGTCCCGAATGACGCCCAAAGTCTGCACCACTGAACCTGCAAGTCAGACTTTCAGCGCCACCTCTCAAGCTTGGACATTGCTTCCCATACTCTCAACACCGACACGAGCACCCACCTATGCCCACCCAAACACGCGAGCGCACACATACTAGTCTCTCATCTGCCTGTAGTATTAGTAGCCATGTTTCACGGTGAGTCGATCAGTCACATCCTCATTCCCTGCTTGTGCATGCACCTGGTCGGCGAGGTGCCTTGAGTTGTAGCTCTCAGTTTTGCTTTGGGCTCTGCTGCTCTATTATAGGAGCAGGCATGTTCACGCCAGTCAGACTGTCCAATATCGTGGATTGCTCGCTCAATACCGACGTGACAGGACTGGAGCATGCAGCCTTCTTCATCCGTATGCTGCCAACCAATTCTGGCACTGCAGTTGGAAACCGTTCCAATTCCATGGCCGGCATGGCTGCGCAGCCGAGCAAGCTCTGGCCATCGATCCGATTTGTAGGACTGCAGGTCCAAGCGGTCCAAGCCTGTGTATGCCTTACTCCCCGCCCTGGCCTCCTCTCAGCAAACCTTGGATGACAAACACACAGCTCTTTCTCTGTCTCTCTCTCGCTCCTTCTGTGCTTCCGTAGTGCGGAATGCAAGGACTGAGCTCGGAACTGTGCAAGCGCTCGCCAGTCTCGCGATTGAAGGGGTCTGGACGAAAACTTCGATGCCAGACGTGTGCCGACAGAGCCTCGGAAGATGCTAGATCGCCACTGTGCAGACTGTGCGGTACCTCCTTGCCCCAAGCGGCTCGATTGAAGAGGTAGCAGTAGTAGGAGCCGCCGTAGTGGACCAGGTGGTCGAAGCGAGCCGTCGCTGTGGACAGGCCCAGCCTCGGCAAAGCCGCAAAGCGCTCCTCAGCTGGCGCTCTTTGAGGCCATCTTTGCTGAGCTCTCGGCAGCTCGAGCAGCGACGCGTTGCAGGGCCCGTCCTGCAGCGATCCGAGAATCCACCACCGAGTGCAGGCTGCACCCAGCTGCAGCAGACGAGCAGACGAGTGGCCAGCCCCTGCTCGAAGCTCGCAAGCCTCGTAGCATCAAGGATTCCAACATGATTGCAAGCCGTGCTCAAACAGACCCATCTCCGACTTTGCTTGTCCACGAGGACCAGGCCTTCCGTGCAGATGTGACTGTAGATCCGATGACGCAGACGGCTGGAAGGAATAGAACGCTTGGTCCACCAGCGCCTCAGTTGAGCACATGGCACCCGACAAAGCCAGACGCTCTTCAGAACTGGATTTCACCGAAGCCACGTAGACCAGCTGCTGCACCGCCTCGAAATGCCCGAAGGGCCGAGAACGGTGCGCAGCTCGCAGGTTCTCTGGCAGCTTGGAGCCTCGCAAGGCGGGCCCTTCAGTGGGGTGTCTCGGGGTGCAGATGGAGTTCTTGCTTGTGCTCCCGGCCTGTGCTGGCATGCGAGGCATACATGCTCAGGCAGTCTGGATCCAGCACGAAGTGCTCGAACAAATGAGACGGAAACTCCTGAGACAAACAGTACGGAACGAGCTGAAGACTGCTAAGATCGCCCGGGCCAGAGCTTGAAATCATGGCCAAGTCGCAACGAAGTCAATCGTGCCGCGTGTTCCGGACAGGTGCTGGAAACGAGTCTCGGAGAGCAACGAGTGGACCGCATGCCCAATCTCGTGCATGAAGGTGACCGCAAAGCTCGTAGACAGGCTTTGCGAGCCAGGGGGCAGAGCATAAACCAGGCAAGTCTTCGGGACTTGAAGTTGTCCATCTGGCAATGCCTTTGACCCCTGCAGGGTAAATTGCGCAGATTGGACCTTCTTGCCGGCACGCGGGAAGGGGTCCAAGTAAAGGATGCCAATGGTTCGCTCCTTTTCACGGAGCGCAAACTTTTGAACCGAGGGATGCCAGACTTCGCCGGGATCGGGAGCCTCTTGGACGAAAGCTAAGCCCAGTAGCCGAGAGAGCACCAACTCCACGCCCTTCATCAGGGAGCCATAGCTCAGGTATTCTGAGATCTCATCGGCCTCTCGGTGCCTCTGCTTGCATCTCCGCAAGAGAAACGGTACGTCCCAGGGCTCCAAGGAATCGCCAAGGCCGATGCTTTGCTTCTCCTCCGCCAGAAGCTGTAGCTCTGTCAGGAAGCCGGGCCTCAAAGCGTCCCAGGCCGTTTCGAGGAACTCTTGAACCTTCTCCGGGCCCTCGAAAAGAGCTTCCCTTTGTGCATAATGGGCCCAAGTGTCGTAGCCACGTATCTTCGCAAGCTGCTGTCGCACCGAGAGTAGCTGCAGCATCATCTCCTCTCCGGTCGTGTCCCGGCTCTGCTGCGCTTGGTGCATTCTTTGCCGTGTCTCGCCACACGGGACGGTTTTCAGTATCCTATCAGCAAGAAATGTATCACGGGGAATGTGGACCTCTTCGCCACCGCGAGCACTCTGGCGCTTAAGTCGCCACTGGTGCAAGTTTAGGCTGTCCAGCGCTGACACCGACAGCCATGCTCCCTCAGTCTCAGCAGACACCTGCTGACGCACCTGCTCCTGGCGATGAACTATGTCGAAAGACAGCTGCTGCTCCGCATCCAGCATTTGCATGCATGCTTGCTTCTCAGCTTCCGCGAGATGAATGCCTTCGTGCTCCATCGACACACGCATGTGACGCAACACATTGGAAGCTTCCAGCGGCATAGTTTCAACGCCTTTGGAATTTTCGGAGTTTTTCATGCAATTGTAGACCTTCGTGTCGAGGTTCACCTCACTCATGTACCCGGCAATCTCTTGGACTGCAGCGGAACCGTTGACACTGTAGGCCTCGTCTGGATGGACATTGCGTATCAGCTCAGCAGCATCCGCTATCTGACAGAGGCCATTCGACACATCGTCCAGTAGCGAGACAGTTTCGAGCGGGCCGCATGCCGCCAGACCATCCAGCTTTTGTCGGCTCTGCTTGACAACATCTGCTGCCAAGACCGGAAAGTCTTCGGCTGAATCCAGGCCCTGGATTCCCAGGAGGGGTCCCTGCAGGCTATCGCAATTAGGCAATTAGCTCAGACCTCTCCATGAAACCCTTTGCGACGTGCAAACCGATCATTATCACCCTGTTGACCCAGGTGCGCTCCCGAGCAACAGGTGGGTCTTCCCGAAAAACTACATTGCGTTCGCCACGAGCTCGGGTGCAAGAGAGAGATGCGAAAACACAAGTGAGGTTGAGAGATTTGCAGTGTCATGTCGCCAGGTGCAATGTCTGCCCCCTTTCACAGTGCCCTGTCTATTGGTTCGACCTCTTTTGCCCTGTGATTGGTTCGACCTCTTTTGACTCTCCGGCCTCAGACTTGCTCTTGAAGAAGAAGGCACGGGAGCCACTTCTATACGGCTGAAGGCAATCCTGCAAGAACAATCCGATGACACCATCAATTGCGCAGGCCAACCGAAGAGGTGTTCGTTGCCTCTGCTCGGCGGAGAAAGTTCAAAGCTGCTGCAGCACCGTTGACTCGGCCTTGGCCACGAAGTTAGGAACACAAGGCCGTTTGCCACTGCAAGCTTCTGAAACAGCCGAGTGTTGCGCGAGGATACCGCAGTCCGGCATTCAAACGCAGCATTGGCACAGCAACCGCGTCGCGGCAACAGATCTGTCAATTGCTCATCTTCAGATGTCTAACAACCTGTCTTGCCACACTCGCATTGCAAGCTAGAAGAAGACAGCAGGGTCAACGCTTTGCCGTTGTCTTCAGGCTCGAAGTGGCTCTGCTAGCGATGCCAGTATATGCAATATGCACGCAGCTTGAACCAGAAAGTCCAAACATTTCGTTGCAAACTGAATGATGCAGGCTGAAACGGCTAGGTGAAGGACACTGTGAGAAGCATTGCTCCAGCTGAGAAGCCACAGGCGAGGATGTGCAAGCACCTGGCAATCGGCTTCGTTTACACTTCCGGCGCGTGCAGATGCAGAGCCATGCAAGGCATGACCTGTGTCTCCTCAGTGCCGAGGCTTGCTCTAGGATTCGCGGCAGTGCCTGGCATGTCTTCTTGATGCAATTCAAGTTGGAGCATGCTGGTCGTTGAGCGGTCTGCTGTGGAAGTCTTTCCAAGGAAGGCCACAGGCCGCCTCACCCAGCTTCACGGTCACCAGAATCCAAGCTGACGCCACCACGACCCCCATGCCTCACAGCAGGGCTATGCTATGAATCTCTTCACTTGAGCATCCGGTCAAACAGCGATTGGAATCATGTGAGGACAGGGCTCAGCGGCAGGAAATCCGAAAACCGCTTTGCCTCATGTCGTCGGGTCTCTAGCTCTGCAGTTCCGGTACTGTACGTCCCTGCCACAAGAACCGCTCACATCTCTCCTGCCTGTGAGGACAAGATCAATCCGACGATCAGCCTTCCAAACGCAGCCGCACTGTGTGGGGAAGAGTTTGGTGCAATGGCAGGCGTTACAGTCACTAGAGCCCTTCAAACCCTGCTCCAGACCACTACCTTCCGGTAGCCAGGGGCAGAGCCAGGACCAGTGCCTCCCACGTCAAAGTGCTTGAAAGAGCACGGCCATTGATTCTTCAGCCGCTTCAGCCCCGCTGCACTGAGGCTGCAACCATCACTGACCAGCAGATGACGACAACAAGCCCGGAAACCTCTTCTTGAATCGAGCGGGTATTGGCTAAAAGCACTAGCTACTTTTGGACTGCGCCCCGGGCTCCAAGGAATTTCCAGGGTTTCGCCACCCAGTTCGACCAATCCGCTTCAGACTGCACCTGGAGGCTCTGTTCCAATGCGACACTCCAACACCCACAAAACCCGGTTTTCACGCCTGAGACGGTGCTGGCGACTCACCAACCTAAGAGCAGGGCACGGGTGCCTCCTGCGGGGACTTTTGTGCCAAGGTCGGGACCAAGAGATGCCCGAAGCCGATGGCACGAAGCCAACATCGCAACCTGAGAGGTAGAAGCTCCGAGCACGGCTGGGATCTCGTTTGTGAGATAAGGAAATGCTACGAGCAGCGTCTCCAAGGGCCCAGCCCCGACGAGATGAGTCGCGTCATTACGGGCGATGTCTCGAGGATTCGGATGCACTGCAGGACCTGAGCCCAGACGTGACCAGGAGCACCGTCAAATGCAGCTCAGAGAGACCTCAGGGACATGCCAGCACGTAGAGCTGCATTAGCTCCAGCACGAAGAGCGACTGGCCTTCTGCCATTCCGCCGTTTTTTGCCTTGCCTCGGAACTTTTATCGTATTAGAGCTGCCAAAAAAAACACCAGAGTTGGCTTTTGGCTTTTCTGTCTTCGCCCCGGGCTGCTGGGCCGAGCAGGTACACCGACAGGGCCTCGGCTCTCCGACAAGAGTTCAGAGGTTCGGAGATGCCGCTCGGAACTTCCGAACGCGTGGGAATGCCGTGGGCGCTTGTACAGTGCGGGAGCGCACACAACTGCACCAAGCTGGGCTCTCGGTTTGGGGACGCTCACTGCCTATGCTACGGGCTTCTCATCAAAAGGAGAAGCGAGCGGCACATTGTGTAAAAACCGCCTTTGTGCACTGCCAACTGGAAGCTCTGGGGCGTGCTGGATGGCCGGGAGCAGGTTGCGAGTGCTAGGCCAAGGTCACACATGCTGTGGACTTCAGATTTTGAGTTTAGGCGACACCGCAATTCGCTTTTGGAGCTGCATACGTTGATCTCCCGAAGCTGTCACAGATGCGCAGATGAGCAAATGACCAGACAAGGAGAAGGGATCTCTTCGATGAAGCCCTTCGATAACATCACCTGTCAGCTGCACACATGCAGATGCTTGCCAGCTGTGCATCCCTAATATCCCTATCTCAGCTGCCCTGATGAGCCTGTCTGGTCCACCAGCAGCATCGGAAAGAGCGCCTCTCCCACAAGCCTGGGCGCAATCGAGGCTCGCGCTTGCAGGCTTCCGAACGAGGCTTTTTCCGGGCCTGTCGAGGAGGAAGGCCGGCAAGTACCACACCGCAAAGACCAGAGGCGTGTGCACGGCCACCTGCCGTCAGTGATAGGGGCCATCTAAAACACCCCACGTCCTTCTCGACACTCCAAGAGGCCCTTGCATGGATGAGCGAAAGCTTCAGCGTGGCCCAGTGTGGCGGCAGCGGCCTGAGAAAACGGAATTCCCAAGCTGGGAGCCCTCAGAAAGCCTCAATTCGAGGGCCGCACGTGGCTTCGGACAAGCCTGACACCGGTTGCATGAGGCAGGGAGCGCTAGAAGGGTCTTGTTTTTCGCGCTTGTCTGCAACGTGCCACAATGGTTTACAGACACCCAGCATCAAACGCCCCAAGTCAAAAAACAGATCAGGTTGCCCGGAGGGCTTTCTTATCACTGAATCATTGAGCTGGAACAGCTGTTGAAACTTTGAAGACGTACATAGTACGTACTGCAACTACACCAACGGCAACTGACAAACGACACCTTGTTTCCGGCTAACTTCTCAGTGACATGATGACACAGCAACACAGCTCGGCATGCCCACCCAGCTCTTCTGTCATCGTGCCGAAGAGGCGCCTGAAGTTGGCAACCAAGCGGCTACAAAAAGACATGCATCGTCTCCGTAAGCTCCCGCCTATGGCAGTTGATGGCACTCACAAAGAAGTTCAGAGAAGCTCTCCTCATCAGCTGTCACGGATCTGAACAGCGGCCAGACGTGCGAGCTGCTGGAAAAAAGTGTTCTGCAATGAGGAGGGTGCTGCACAACGTCCGGCATGAGGACCTTCCCAGATAGCTCATGAAATCGAAAGGCGTTTCGTTTTTTCTAGGGAGGAGGCATTGGCAACACAGCCCTCCATGAAGGCGAATCCCCAGAGGTGCACATAGCCAATGAACAGCTGCATCACCTTCGATAGGGTGAGGAAGCAACCAAAAATCGCAAAAACATTGACAAGAAGACTTCTCCGAGGAGTCTGGCGAAGGTGATGAACGGGTTGGCACTCATCAGCGAGGCTCTCCCCTGCTGTGACAAGTGAAGCACCTGGCATCGGTTTACACGATGCAAGCAGCGTGGCAGCAGCCAGCGTGGCATGGCGCAAAGAAGTCGTCGGACAAGGCACAGGTCCGGCGAGAAGGCATAGCACCAAATGGCCAACGTATGCAGGAAAGGCCCTCAAAAAGGGGCAAAAATGGGCAGGACACAGACGCCATTGCACACTCCAAAAACGAGGATGCACTGGGCAGGAGACACAAGCTGCAGCAAGGCCACTGCGATGCGCTGAATCCGCTGCCTCAGTGCTCCAAGGCAATAGTACCTCTGGCAAAGCGGCGGCTACAAGGGCCGCACCATGTTTGCAAGATGCTCTCGCAGAGGTGGCTTCTGGCAGCAACCACCAGGGTCCGGCAGGCCTGTATGAGGTGCACTTGTTTCGAGTCAGAGAACAGCCAGCAGTGCTAGCCCAGCAGCCTGCCAACTGCGCGAATTCTGGCCGCACCCAGTGACGGCCCCAACTAACAGCAGCCCCAGCACCTCCGGGGCAGTCCGGCGGAGTCCGGCGGAGTCCGGAGGAGGGCAGGGGATCAGCTACGAGCAGGTCAAAGGGCTACAGCAGCACAGGGCCGTTGAACAAGCAGCAGGCAGCTAAGGATGCCGACCCTTCAGACTTCAGGTGAACACTCACTTCCAAAAGGTGTCTGGAGTCCACAAACGACGTGTGTCTGCTGACATCTGTTTGTGCACGTTAACTGTCCGACTCGATGAGGGCACAGCGGCCCCGTGATTTCCGAGCCCCTGGCAAAAACGATCATGCAACACGCCAGGACACCATACCTGGCGAGTGCTCAGGAGATCTCAGGGGTCTAGCGGCTTCTGCACATGGTGAGCTTCTGGGATAGCGGCCCAAACAGAAAGGCCAAGAGGTCCTCTCTGCGCAGTGCACATCGTATCGGCTGCTCACACAATCTCACACAAAGCACCGCAGCAGTCCAGTATGACGTTCACCCCAGCAGAGGGAAGCTCCACGGAAGACCTTGCCGTCTGCTCTGGGCTGCTCTGGGCCGGAAAGGCTCCCTCCAGCCTCGCTCCTCTTGAGCGAGAGCTCTCGTCACCCGAAGACCTACAGTTACAGTGCACATGTCAGGCGAGGAGCCTCTGAGGGTAGGCTCTGAGGCTCCAGCCACGATATCAGCATAACGATGTCTGGAGCCACGGCCTCGCTGCAGAGCTGAGGACGAAAAAAGCTCGGCCACTCAACAGATCTGCCTGGATCCAAGGTAGCCTCAGCTGTCCGAAAGCACCCTTGCACACACCGCTTCGGCTCTGTATGTCTGACATTGTCTGGCATTCAAGGCATCGGCACCCGAGCCAGAGTCCATCGACCCAAGTAGGAAGGCAAACCCTGGCAGCGATCTGCTTGAAACGAAAGCCCTTGAGAACTCAGCGGTAGATTCATCTGAATATGAATAAACAAGATGTGCATTGAAGGGAAGCCGTAAAAAGGCGTCTTGCGGCATGGCGGGTTGGCACAGTTCTCTCTGAAGTGAGCTCCTAGACCTCACATGGGCCGCACGTTCTGCATTCAAACAAACGAGCCAGTCACATCATCGTTGTTTCTCACCATTAGGCCATCATTAGGCGCATGTTCGCTCCCAATATGAACCAGAGCCTCCCGTGTGTTTGTTCGCTGCCAACTCTCATACTCCCATAAGATCCCGATGGTCGAGCATCGCTAGGCACATGGGTGAGCTCGCGCGAGGACCTTTGCAACTCAATCCTGGCGGGTAGACCAAGAAAGTGTAGATACCCGCCACGTTGGCGCACAGGAAGGTCAGCATACTCAACAAGGAGCGCACCTTTGAGAGACTGTGCCAGGCCCTCTAACAATACCAGTCTTTTTTTTGGGAGAAAGCTCAGGATTCAGCAGGGTTGCCCTGCAAGCCCATGATGTTCAGCAGATCCTCACCATGTGATTTTCGGTGCGAGCATGGCTTTCAAGTTTTCTCCCCTGTCATTGGAGCTGCAGTCCCTCACCTCTTCCGGGTCCACCTCTTCCTGGCGTTGCCGCGTGTCGACCTGTTTTTCCATCGATCACAGAAGGGGGAGCCGAATTTTTGTCCAAGATCCCACAAGCAAGAGCTGCCTGAATTCCCACTGAAACAGTGGACTCGTGAGAGTCCGTCGTCGTCTCCTCCAGATGCCATGGAGCTGGGGCAACTTTCCCACACACAGAGCTTTGATACACCCTGCTACGACACATGGAATCATATGGATACGGCAGCAGCTGTCCGTTCAATCACACGCAAGCCTCGCCGGGCACTGGCTGAAGCTGTACATCCACAAGCGCAGGTGCTGCACCTCGGTACACAAGCGATGCCAATGAGGGATCACCGCACCCAGAGCCTTGGTGGTAGTGCAGACAACCCACTTGCATGCGACGAGTCTCAGAGCCGGAGCATGGTAATGCTATCAACCGAAACTTCAACCTGACAACACGCTGCAGCATCGACCAAACGCTCGAGGCAGCCTTCACTTTGTGAAGATGCTGCATCTGCTGGCAGCGAACTTCGCACCTCGGAATCGGATGGCACCCCAAGATCATCCCTTCCTCCCGCGCGCCACTGAGCTCCCAGCAGCAGTAAGGAAGGACAACAAGTATATGAAAGCTATGCCTGCCAGCAGCAGATACTGACAAAGAATTACTATATGGGCTTGGCTGTGCGAGCCGACATGGGAGCCCTCCAAGGCCTGCCACAGACAGGCACTCCCCGATCAATATGTCGAAGGTCAACGCAAGAACCTCATCCCGCGTCTTTGTCGCAGTTGCAAGAGTCATCAAACAGCACCTAATCCGCACGTTTAAAGACGACATGACACGACACTCCCAGCTGCTGTGCTCCTGTTAACGCGCACACACACACAGAGACAAACAAACACCTTTTCCTGAGATGCGCTGAGACCAGCACATGCCACGCTGATCCGAATGCGGGCCTTTGGGCGCAGGCCAAACTTAGCCTAGACCTCGGGGCTCGAGGCCTGCGGCCCCGCCTGGGTTGCCTCCCGAAGATCGAGCGTGTGGCCATGATCGTCAGGATGGGAAGCAAGAAACCTCGGCGGGAGAGCAAACGGAAAAAAGAGCCAGAGGCGAGGCGACGAATGGAATCTGCACCGCCCTGGAGCTTGGCTTCGATGCTGTGGGGCGCGATTGCACGCACCAGTCGGAAGGATCAACCCCAGCCTGGCTGGGGCATGCTGGGGCAACCAAGGTCCGTACCCCAAAGTCCAACAGCCTTGGATTGCAGAGTTTGGAGAGCCAATTCTAGTCTGTCGTCGGGCCGATCGCCAAGAACACCACGGAAGTGCTAAACTGGGACTGACGTCATTGCTCGCCTAAGGCGATGCAACAGCCAAGCGACATAAAGAACACGCAGGACGCGATGACCAACCTGCCACAGAGCGGCATCACGTCTGGAATGCCAAAGCAACAGTGGCAGCTTCTGTCCACCAGAGACTGTAAAGTTCCTATACTATACAAGACGGTCTCATCACAGCATTACGTCTCGGGGTCGGAGGACTGGCGCTGTAGCCTTTCTGAGTGAATTCGCTCATTCCATCATCTTGCGTTTCAACAGTCGACCGGCCGCTTACAGAAGCAATCTGACTTGAGGAAATTCGGCAAGCTAAGCAGCGCAAGCCACGGATGGCAACCAGCGTCCCCCGGGCAACATTGCCGGCAGCACGCGATAGGAAGACGAACAGAAGGCTCCAACCTGGCTGAAATCTTGGCAAGCCAGGAAATTTGCAGCCCTTGCCCAGGGTTGACAGGAACTGACGTTGAATGAAGGTGAATTAGATGATACTGGATACAGGCAATGCTCGTGAATGAAGGATGTAAGACCCTTTAGGAACTTTAAGATGCGTCGAGAGCTCGAAAATAGCCAAAACACCCAGTCGGAGACGGTCAGGCGCTGCGGTGCATTCTTGGAATAGACCTGGCTGGGAGGGAAAACCACCTACACCACTCACACCGCAGCACAACAGCCTCTAAGAGACACGGAACGCATACCGTACTAAGATCGGAACCGGAACGAAGTCGAAGGAATGTCCACACAACTCGCAAGCCTGTGGAGATGACGGGATCCACGGAAACAAGTTCCGAGCCGCCGAGGCTTCTGCGGTCTTGCCGTCTTTGCTCCGCAGCCAAGCTTGCAGACATTCCCTGACGCAGGAGGGATAAATGAGTCCGGTGCCGGAGCTGCCCGAGCTCCAGAGACGCAACCGCGCGAGGCACGCGAACGTGCAATTTCTTGGACCAGGGCTCGTGAATCCACTTGATGCTGCCAGCACATCTGCACGGGCAGTAGAGCTTACCAGCCTGACAGATAAAAAGATCTCTGCGAGACCAGCCAAAGGCCAAGACACAGCAGAATTCACCTTCAAGCATCGTGCTTCCGAAAAAGCCGACAGTGCCCTCATGATAACTGATAAATGCCGCCTC